AAGAGACGAGCCTGGACCGCAGAGCGGAGACAGAGGAGCTGCGAGTAAAACACAGCAGATAAGAGTCGATATCATGTTTATAATGTAGATCCAGATCAGCTCGCTGTCTTTACAGCTTCAGCTCAGCTGCCAGTTTGTAGTGAAATATTTCTCCATTTATCTCACTGTATCAGCACTTCTCACCACAGATTAACAACCAGTTCAACTTTCGCTGCACATAAAAGCCCAAACAGGTCCAGTGAATTTGGCTTTGTGTGTGTCGTGTGATCTGAGGACATCTGGGAGTTTGAGTTCTTATTCGTAGCCCAAACTCGTTCTGTGTGTGATTCTCTCTCTTTGCCGTGTCGTCTAGTCTGAGAGCCTCACGACAAACTGACGTTAAGTTTGTGATGCTCTCTGGTTTAGAAATCTGTTCTAACTTGGTGTTAATACACCTTAAGCAGCAATTTCAAATTATTTAAAAAATAAATTAATAAGTAAAATAAAAACGCAGACACAGGATTCAAACGGCAACGATAGATGACTATAAACATCAAGTGGACACTAAATGCAGCAAGCTATAAGTGCTGTTCATTATTTTTGGATTATTTTGTTGCTCAGCAACCATAACCTACTAGAGACGGGTGATGTGGCAAAAATGTAACATCACGATACTTTAAGAAGTTTTGACGACACACGATATGTCACGATATTTACATTTATGGCATTTGGCAGACGCTCTTATCCAGAGCGACTTACAGTGTGATCATTTTTACACAGGTAGGTGAAGGCAGTGTTAGGAGTCTTGCCCAAGGACTCTTATTGGTATAGTGTAGGGTGTTTGCCCAGGTGGGGATTGAACCCCCGTCTACAGTGTAGAAGGCAGAGGTGTTACCCACTACACCACACCAACCACACGATATTGACTTTTTCTGACATCTGATATTTTTACAAATGCAAAAATAAATTATTTATAAATGAGCTGCACTAAATCCAGCCAAAGAGGACTAATTACACTCTCTCCGTAATCAAACATGCAGCTGAGAAGTGTTTCTTTAAGCACTGACGATATTTCGACATGCTTGGAAAAACATATCGTGGCGTATTGTGATGTAATTTATCACGATAATGATAAATATCGTCATACTACCCAGCCAAATAACCTAATACTGCTAAACAGCACTGCTGGCGAAAGTATAGTTTATCGCAATTATCTTTAATAATAAATTCAATCACCAATTGAACATTGGTGCATTTCCTCATATTGTGCTTTAGTATGCATTTCTGTATTTTTATAAAAGCGTCTCTGCCTACATCACAAACGAGGGTCATCCTCAATGTACTTGGAGTTTAAATAAAGGCTGATTGATCGATTGATGCCATTTGTGGGCAGATCATTGATAGCTGAACTGAACAAACAGAAGCCGGTTTAAATGTCTTTCCTCGGTGATGAAAGAGGACCTGATAGAAAAAAGGACAAGCTGCTACAGGCTCACTCGCCAATATTAATCACGCAGTCCGTTCTTAGCTCTGAGAGGATTCCCCGAGAGCAGATCCGAATCTGGCGTGATGATCTTTACATTAACGCCGTCTATCTGCGGCGCACTGGACACTCAATCCACCGAGGGTCTCTGATCAGTGGGATTATTACAGTGAGGGTGACACATAAGCTTACCAAGAAAGTCCTCACACTTCAAATCAGCTCCAAAGAGCTCTTCTGGTTTAGAAGGAGGAAAACGTGACAGATGGGACTCAGACGATCTTTAAATAAGGCTGATATTTTCAGTTTTAAAATTCCTTTCGGCTCGAGGAATCAGAAGGACTTACAGTAAAGCAGACGGCCGAGTGAGAGTTCACACACGCTACCGTTAGATAATGCATTATATCATAAAAGCAATCGATGGATAAGGTAAATATATCACATGCATTTTTGTAAATGCAATCTGACTATATAAAATTTCACCTTTTATAATAGTGCATAATAAGTGTTGTAGCTAGGTTTATAAAGCATATTTATAAAGCACAGACAGCAAGAAACAGTGTTCTCTAGTCTGCAGATCTGAGGTCAGCAGTTCGTCACAGAAACGTGTTCTATTATTGGTCTATATGGACAAGTTAAACAAATCAATAAGAGAGTGTCTCAGTCTTGGGTTCACTACACGACTTTTAAAGTCTTAACAGGTTATAAAAGACTGGGCGTCTCACACTGACAGACTGGGTTTTACAGATTATTTCTGGGCGACTGACATATTGAGGATCCACACTAAACGATTAGGGGTCACACACTACTCAACCTTTCAGTTGCTGCTGAACTGAACTCGCACGTTCTCCCGTTACTGGGAGACGCAAATAAACAAATATGAGCTGCTGCTGCTGTTTCCTCTGCCGTTTGTGCTGAAACAGTAAAGAAGCAGCAGGTAAACATGTTAAAGTGGATCATGGATTTCAAATGTGATCAGTTTGGAATTTTTTTTAGAGTTTTAAAATGTACATAAACTCAATTGCAGTGAGGAGAACTGCATGTGCATTTCTGTGCCTGAACTCAGGGAGGTGAATTAAATGCCGATACCGTCTCGGCTGGCGTTCTACAGCGTCGCGTGATCAGGAGTGCATTGTTTCAAATCTCTTGGCAGGTTAATTATTAATTACTCCACCAGTTTAAACATCACAGCCCAGCGAGCAAATATGGGTGAGTTACGCTCCTCCACCCAGCCACTCGCGCTCCGCCGGCTGCACCAGGACCTGACGCTGCTGAACCGGAAGCTCAGCGGAGAAAAGGCTCCGTCTGTGGTGACACGGTTACGAGTGACAAAAAAGCAGCCAGCTAAAACAATCTGGCGGATGAAGCCGATTTATTTATTCACTGGCGAAGAAAATGGAAATCCTCGCCTCCCTCAGTCAAGTTGAAAATTGTGTAAGCGCAGTAACACTTCAATCCGCCACTGCAGGGCTTAAGAGGCACTTAAAGAGCTGGTCTGAGCTTTAAACCATCGAGGGAATAAAAACCACAGACAGAGAGAGAGAGAGAGAGAGAGAGAGAGAGAGAGAGAGAAAGAGAGAGAGAGAGAGAGAGACAGAGAGAAAGAGAGAGAGACAGACAGAGACAGAGAGAGAGAGAGACAGAGAGAGAGAGAGAGAGAGAGAGAGAGAGAGACTTCTCAGTATCTCTCTCTCTTTCATGCCTTTAGAAAGTCTAGAGGCCGTAATATAAACATGAACATGTGAGCGTTTTCAATATAATCAATGCTTTAAACATATAAAAAACAAAAACAGCTGCTCAACCTGTTTTCTTCAGATAAGAGGAAGATAAACACATAATAATAATAATAATAATAATAATAACAAAAAGTTTGGAATCTGCTTAATGTAAACCTCAATATCACGCTCTTCTTTTGATGTGAACGTGGCACAGTTTATATCAGCTCATCAGATCGTGAGCTTAAACAAAACCTCTTCACACCGTCAGCTCTCCACATCACACCAACAGGAGGACAAACAGCATCTCATCTTCGACTGAAGTAAGTGACACTCAGAGAATCACAGCCAGTTTACTGTCCCAACAGTAAACTATGTGCACTAATGCCCCCCTAAAACCATCAACTGTGCACTGATAACAAGCTGAGTGGTCTTTAGCCTGGAGGACACAGTGTCCATGATTTCCCAAAAAAAAAATTCAAATGTTGATTCGTTGGACCACAGGACACTTTTCCACTTCATCTCAGTCCATTTTAAATGAGCTCAGGCCCAGAGAAGGTGGCAGTGTTTCTGGATCCTGTTTATATATGATTTCTTCTTTGCGTTTTAGAGTTTTATTAGCATTTGTGGATGCAGTGATGAACTGTTTTCACAGACAGTGGTTTTCAGAAGTGTTTCTGAGCCCATGCAGTGATTTCCACTACAGAATCATGTCTGTTTTTAATGCAGTGCTGTCTGAGAGCCCAAAGATCACGGCCAGCAAAATACTGGTTTTTGGCCTTGTCCCTCACATACAGAGATTTCTCCAGATTCTCTGAATCTTTTAATGATATTATGTACCGTAGATGATGAAAAGAAAAGTTCTTTACTATTTTATGTTGAGAAACGTTATTCTTGAATTGTTGCACTATTTGATTGTGCAGTCTTTCACAGAGTGGTGAACCCCTCCTCATCTTTACTTCTGAAAGACTCCGCCTCTCTGAGATGCTCTTTTATACCCAATCATGTTACTGATCTGTTGTCAATCAACCACCAGGTGTTTTTTTTTAGCATTAAACAACTTTACCAGCCTTTTGTTGCCCCCCTCCCAACTTTTTTGGAACGTGTTGTTGGCATCAAATTCAAAATGGGCAAATATTTTTAAAAGAACAATAAAATTTCTCAGTTTCAACTTTTGATTTGTTGTCCTTATACTATTTTCAATGAAATAAAGGGTTTAAATGATTCACATCATTGCATTTTGTTTTTATTTACATTTTGCACAGCGTCCCAACTTTTTTGGAAATGGGGTTGTATAACAGGACGAGCTCACTACAAGTGTTGGCAGTGCAATCAACAGGAGTCTTCAACTCCAGCTCCGATCAGAATAACAATGCAAATGAGTTCCGGTTCAGCTGATCAAACAAGGATGAATCCAAAGGTCAGTATAGAGTTGTAGGCCAATGGTTTCAGGCTCTGGCGCAAAATGTGCGTTGGGGGTGGGGGTGGGGGTTGGTTGCAAGGTTGCAACCTGGTTGTCAAAAACAGCAAATAGTCTAAATTATGGATAACATATACCATATATTTGTATGGATGATTATAGACCCTCCCACCAAACCCCACTTGTCAGACCAAAGTTCCACCCCTGGTTTCAGGCTAAGACACTATAAGCACAAGGAGAACAGAGGGTACAGTTTTTCCACTATACATTCAAAAACCAGAACTGACCCGAACGAGAGCCAAGCAGAACTTTGGGGTCCTGTTCTAGATTGTTTTCCAGTTGCCTGAAAGACAGCTGGACCATTAACAAAGCAGAACAGGTTCATAAAAACGAACGTTTCACTCACCAGCAGTGAAGTCCTTGTTAAGGTCGATGAAAGCGTTCGAGTGAGGAACGCGGATCTTCACCTCAGCGCTGAGCGCCTTCTCGCACCGAGGCTTCCTGCGAAACAAACGAGCAAACGAACACAACAATTAGGGATTTACAATGATATCAGAATTACATCGGTATCGGCAGACAGCTGCTTAAACCGGGTTACACCACACAACTTTCACCCTGATTTTAGCCCTGATTCTCCGTTTGGCTGAGAATAGTCTGCAGATTTTTGGGTCAGTCGGAGTCGACAGTTGGAGAGAGAATCGAGTCGTGTTTGAGGCTCAGATTTACTGCCTCCCGATTGCGTTTCAGACCAGTCAGTTTATCAAACGTTTGATTTTTTTCGACCCGACTCAGTGTAATCTAGCGTGAACTGATCAACGAGTCAATCTGAACAGATTCCTGCAACAACCAATGAAAACTGAGCACTAAAAAATAAAATACAGCAAGTAAACAAAGAAAAATGGCGAAAAGTCTCTCACGTGTGGAGCGAAGCCTAATTTTAACCCAGTTTTTCTCCCCAATTTAGTCGTCTCCAATTCCACCCGCTAGTTAGGACTCCCCCAATCACACGATGCTATCAACGCTAGGAGGGCGAAGGCTAACACAGGCTTCCTCCGAGACCTGTGAAGCCAACCACCGCTTCTTTTCGAGCTGCCGCTCACGCAACGTCACTGGACAGCCGAACGCGCTCGGAGGAAAGCGCCAACCGCCAGATCTGTTACGTCAGCTAACAGACGCCTGCGCTGACTAGCATCGCGCTGAGTGATGGGGGGAGAAGGAGGGGCCATCCTACCCACCCAGAGAGAGCGAGGCCAATTGTGCTCTCTTGGACTCCCGGCTACGGACGGCTGTAGCATCACCAGGGATCGAACTCGCGATCTCCTGATGAGGGACAACGCTTAGACGGTTGCGCCACTCGGGAGTGTGTGGAGCGAAGCTTTTTAATGAGCTGAGTTTATGGCACAACTGAGTTTATGTACATTTAAAACTCTAAAAAAATACAAATCCACGATTCAGCCTTTCACCAAACCATTGCGACCGCAGCTTTTTACCTTGTGCCACACTGTGCACTGAATCCAAAAGCGGGTGGTGATGTATATTAGTGGGACAATACAGTCTCTTTACAGGAGGTGTCAAACTCAACCACACTGTAAACACCCTCAAAGGTACAACAGTGGATTTAAGGTCTGATTGTGAACTTTAAATAAGTTTTTCCAGGTGAAAAGTTCGTATTTGTACCTTTTCATAGCCGAATGTTTTAAACAGAACAGTAAAATAAAAGCCTGGAGACGAGACGGGGTGTGTGGAGTCAGTACAGCTTAGAACATATCATTTCAGTGGATTATGGTTCAGTTATGTTCCCTGACTAAAGGTACTGAGATGGAGCCTTGAGGGTTCCACCCCAGTGACAAGAGGGGCACTGCCCCAGTGACAGTTTAGCATCTTTGTATGTACAAAAATATTAAAAAGCTCAACAAATCTGCAAGCTGAACTGGCCAGTGTTTTATCAAAAACACAACAAACGTCAACAGTAAAATGTAGACGTGTGTCGTAGACCTTGAAATATAACACGAATACTTGAAATATTCAATATTTACACATCTCCAGGTTGTAGGTCTTTTAAACCTACCTATTTTCCTGAATTAGTCACCTGCCATCTGTTCTTTGCTGCAAGTGTTTATGCTGGTTGAACTGCTGGTGATTTGATTGTTGTGTCAGAATTGAGGCGTAACCACTGTCTCATAGATTGCTGGAGCACAATTTATGTTGCAATGCATGATGGGTATTGTAGTGCAGCACATTTTCAAATGGGCTATATTAATAGAAAATTAAAATACTTTTACAAGCCAAATAGGATGTGGTCACAGGCCTGATCTGGCCCACGTGTGTGATACATGTTCTCTACAGCCCATTTTAAAAATATTAAAAATAATAAGTTCGGGGCTCCCGAGTGGCGCAACCGTCTCAGCGTTGGCCCTGTCGTCAGGAGACCGCGAGTTCGATCCCTGGTGATGCTACAGCCGTCCGTAGCCGGGAGTCCGAGAGAGCACAACTGGCCTCGCTCTCTCTGGGTGGGCAGGATGGCCCCCCCTCTCCCCCCATCACCCAACGCGATGCTAGTCAGCGCAGGCGTCTGTTAGCTGACGTAACAGATCTGGCGGTTGGCGCTTTCCTCCGAGCGCGTTCAGCTGTCCAGTGACGTTGCGTGAGCGGCAGCTCGAAAAGAAGCGGTGGTTGGTTTCACAGGTCTCGGAGGAAGCCTGTGTTAGCCTTCACCCTCCTAGCGTTGATAGTATCGTGTGATTGGGGGAGTCCTAACTAGCGGGTGGAATTGGAGACGACTAAATTTAGGGAGAAAAATTGGGTAAAAATCCCAAAAATAAATAAATAAATATTAACAAATATAAATATGATATTAAATATTATACTTTAATTCTATTCAGTCAGACAGAGTTGGCACACAGACGCTGGTACTGCGAGCATCGACTTCTTTGCCTCCTTTAATGTGTGTTTGCCTGTGTTTACCAGTGATTGTGATTATGTGTGTAACGCTGGGTTGACGAATCTGACGCTCATGGATAAAAGATGAACCGTAAAGTTTTATTAAACGGAGAATTAACCGATATAACAGGGTTAAGATCAGCCTAGGTCAGAAACCAGATCAATAAAACACAATACACAGGTAACCAAGTCAGATGAACAACCGGGGGTCGTAACCAAAGAGCAAACACACAAGCAGACTTAGACAAAGGGGCAAATCCGAGAATCAGCAACGAGAAATAAAACAAGGTCACACACGAAGAAAGGCTTGATACGCATTGACGGAGATCTGCTGGTTGGCTTGTGACTGGCTGGTGGAGTCACATGACAAACTGAGGGATTCTGGGAAGTGGAGTCCACAACGGAATGAGAGTCCAAACGAGAACCAGGAAGCGTGACAATGTGTGGTTTTGAGTGCGACTTTGAGAAGCCGGTTTGTGAGATCTGATCAAGCTGCAAGACGAGCGGCCAAAATTTCAGACACATCAGAAATCCATCCGATCGCCTGACCGCTCGATTAGAGCTGGTTTGGGCCGCTAATCGGGCCTCGCTTCCCCTCTCAAACTGAACACCAAATGACAGCAAGCTGAAATTCAGCCCCGTCAGGAAATACAGTCAGTTCCAACCAAATCGGGCTTAACAACGGGCTAAAATCGCACTGTGTATGCCTGGATGAGATGAGGCTCTGGCATATCTCTAAATGATCCAGTTAGCTTATATATAAACATATAATACAGTAAATATGACTTGTTATACTTCCCTGAGCAAAAAGACAAAAAGATACTCCGATTACGATCAAGAAGGTGTTTCTGTTAAAATGGCCTCACCTGTCACGGAGATAGCAAACTTCCGTTGAACTGCCCACCACTCCGAAGACATCTGGAATCATGTCCCCATTAAAGCTGCAATGGAAGAACGGAAGCACAACAAATACTCAGTAAACTCTCACAATACACTGGATTAACATTCAGATTACTACTGAAATGTGACCTCATCGTCTCCACCTTGCCAAAACATCGAAATATAACAAGCTATATAGTATATCATATTTCATTTAATGCCAACGAAATACCTTCACAGTTTACACTGCTCTGGCAGTTTGTACACTGTGTGTTAGACAGAAGCGTCAGGGGTTCTGGGTACAGTCTTATGAAAACCAGTTTTCAACACAACCAGTCAAAACGTGAAAGGTTAACACATCCTACACAGGAAATGCACTTAAACTTGGCAAATTTTAGCGCAAAATTTCCATTTTTTAACATATTACGAAAAAAAAATTATAAAATACAAAATGCCTCATAACTGTTGCACAGGTTTGTTTTTTACTTTTTTTCCCCCCAACATCTTAAATTCAGCAAATAAACTGTAGCTGCGCATTAAAATGTACAGAAGTGTGTCTCGGTAAGGGATGTGGTTACTTATTCACACTCAGACAAGCAACAAAAACATGCAATTTGACCAGGGGCGCCTAAACTTTTGCACACGACTGTATATGAACAGCTGGAGAGACACCCCAATGAGCCTGACAACGAATAGAAGGTAAAAGGCATAAATTAGCATAAAGTCATTTGCGAAATGGAAAATACTGGCCATTCGCTTTCATTCACTGTTAGCAACATTAGCGGTTTTGACTGAACTGATCCTTTAGGGTGTGAAGAGTCACAGTGCACCACAGAAATAAGACACGCCCAGCGACTTAATACACCCTCCAACAAGGCGGAGCCTCAGAGACAAAAGGTCTGAATCCGCTTACTCCATGACGAGGGGCTGATCTTTAAACGTCCTATTGAGGTCAGTCCTTCCACCCTGATCTGTGAGAGAACATTGAGAAGAAACGTGAGTGAGAACATTATTTCACCAATTATCAAAACTGGACATTGTGAAAAAAGCACAAATTAACAACTCACAATGTAGGTGTTTCTAATAAAGTGGCCAGTGAGTGGAAGCACAAGGTAGGTGTTTCTAATAAAGTGGCCAGTGAGTGGAAGCACAATGTAGGTGTTTCTAATAAAGTGGCCAGTGAGTGGAAGTAGAAGGTGGGTGTTTCCAATAAAGTGGACAGCGAGTAGAAGCACAAGGTAGGAGTTTCTAATAAAGAGGCCAGTGAGTGGAAGTCCAAGGTGGGTGTTTCTAATAAAGTGGCCAGGTAGTGGAAGCACAACGTAGGTGTTTCCAATAAAGTGGCCAGTGAGTGGAAGTACAAGGTGGGTGTTTCTAATAAAGTGGCCAGTGAGTGGAAGCACAAGGTGGGTGTTTCTAATAAAGTGGTCAGTGAGTGGAAGTACAAGGTGGGTGTTTCTAATAAAGTGGCCAGTGAGTGGAAGCAAAACGTAGGTGTTTCTAATAAAGTGGCCAGTGAGTGGAAGCACAAGGCGGGTGTTTCTAATAAAGTGGCCAGTTTCTACATCCACAGCTTTACCCAGAGTTTGGTTGTTCCCCCAGAAGACGAACACATTTGTCTGCAGGGTGTCGGAGCCTTTGGGATGGCCGGTGAGAAGAACGTCCATTTGAGAATCTCCATCATAATCTCCTGGGACGACGCTGCTGATGGTGATGACGTCACTGAAAGAGCAAGAACAAGCCAACAAACGAAGAATAAGCAGGATCAGTTAAAGGACCACAGCAGCGTCACTGATCATAGTATTTCACTCGTGGAGGACTTTAAACGATCTTCAGTCTCACCTGGGGAACACATCCTTGGTGAGATGCACTTTAGGCTTGAAATAAGGAACTTTGAGATCAGCCAGGAAAATCAGCAGCTCTGATTCTGAAAAAATGAGAATTAGAGTTATTTATTAATCAACAATCAGCAAAAAAACCACAAACACGCCAAATATTCAACATTTTAAAACGAATACAGCTTCTGAAATATCAGGGAACCAAGACTCAGCTAGAACCTTCTGAAAAGACTGTAAACATCTGGAGGAGAAAATGACTGTGTGGAACCCATATAGGACAGACGATGTAGAACGTGGTGGAACACAAAGGATAGTAGCTACAGAACATGATGGAACACCCCAGGACAGTAGATCTCCAGAACCAGGGTTGGTGACCACTGGTCTAGAACACGGTTGGAACACACATAGGTCAGCAGATCTAGAACTTGGTGGACACATACAGGATGGTAGATATAGAACATTGTGGAACACATATAGGTCAGTAGATCTAGAACTTGGTGGACACATACAGGATGGTAGATATAGAACATTGTGGAACAATAGCAAATCATTGTGGACACACAGATATAGAACATCGTGGAACACATATAGGTCAGTAGATCTAGAACTTGGTGGACACATACAGGATGGTAGATATAGAACATTCAGGTTGATAGACATAAAATATGGTGGGACACATGCAGGATGACTAGAGCATGGTGGACAGGAAGACAGATATAGGCCATAGCGGAACATTTACAGGATGACAGATCTAGAACATGGTCAGAACAGATGGCAGATCTAGAACTCGGTAGACACAAACAGGATGATAGATATAGGACATGGTGGAACACATACAGGTAGATCTAGAACTTGGTGGACACATACAGGATGGCATATAGAACATCATGGAACACATAGGATGGCAGATCTAGAATTTTGTGGCGACATACAGAAGGACAAGTCCAGAACATGGTAGAACACATGCAGGATGATAGATATACAACATGGTGGAACACATACAGGTAGATCTAGAACTTGGTGGACACATACAGGATGACAAAACTAGTACCTAGAGGAACATACACAGGATAATAGATCCAGAACATGGTTAAAACAGATGGTAGATCTAGAACTTGGTGGAGATACACAGGAAGATAAATCTAAAACATTGTGGAACACATACAGGTAGATCTAGAATTTGGTGGACGCTTACAGGATGACATCTAGAATATGGTGGAACACATACAGGACAACAGACCTGGGACATGGTGGAACAAACACAGCATGAGATATCCAGAACATGGTCAGAACAGACGGCAGATCTAGAACCTGGTAGACGCATACAGAATGACAGCTACAGAACAAGGCAAAACACAAAGATAGATCTAGAACTAGGTGGACACATACAGGATGACATCTAGAGCATAGTGGAACACGTACAGGACGACAGACCCAGGACATGGTGGAACATACACAGGGTGAGAGATCCAGAACACGATCAGAACAGATGGCAGATCTAGAACCTGGCAGACACATAGAGAATGACAGCTACAGAACAAGGTGGAACACAAAGGTACATCTAGAACTAGGTGGACACATACAGGATGACATCTAGAGCATAGTGGAACACATACAGGATGATAAATCTAGAACATGTTAGGGAAGCAGTTCAGGGTGAGTGCAGCAAGTGAGGAGTTCATGCAGTGACAGAAGTTCCTGTGAGCCCTCCACACGTTTTAAACGGGACCACCGAGGTGACAGTCGTTTATTAGACGTTACGTTGGGCGTGTAAACAGTTTAAGATCCAAACATTTGTAGGAAGAAGTTCAACATGAGTTTAAATTAGAACTGGAACTTGGAGAACCAGCCTGAGCTCACAGGGGAGCGAGCCAGCAGCCCTGAAGCTAAAGCTCATCACAAACCTAACAGTTCGGCGGTTTGAGGCGGTTTTTGACGGCATATTATTGATTAAACAGACATAATAACCCACTGTGGAGCGCTAAGCTCGGTCCAGGACAACATATAGATCATTAATCAGCCCATTGATCAGGACAGTTAGCATTAGCCAGTTAGCCTGAGCCCTGTAGCTTCAGTCACTTACGTTCCCTGATGATGAAAATATCGGTCTGTTTATCCGAGTTAAAATCACCAAAAGCGGCCACCGTCCCCTCATTCTGAGCGCCGAACAAGTCACTGGTCACGTCCTGGAGGCCCGGACGCGAAACGAGGCACGAAAAACGCCGAAATTAAGCTTAAAACTAAGGAGCTGCAGCAGGTCGGCCACATCCTAACAGCCGGAGACACAGCAAAGACTACAAACGTCGCTCTACGGCGCGCCGCTTTACGACACCAAGAAAATGACACATTAAAAACAAACGAAGAAATACGAGCCACGCGTCTTGTCTGAAGCATTCGAACTCGTTTGCGAGTGAATGTGAAATATGTCATGCGTTTGAAAATAAAATAAATAACGATTTTAAAAACGCTTTCGCTGACGTCACGAGCGGAACGGCTCCGGTGTTTACGGCGGTGTCGCGCTGAAGTGTCAGTGTTGCAGTAAACATGGCCACCTTGGCAGATGTCGGCTGGAAGCTGCTGGAGTTTAAAGCCAGATCCAAACGCTCAGGTTGGGTTTTTTCACGCGCATGGCGCCGTTTACGACTTACGAGTGCGGGTTCTGTTTCCACCCGTGCTTTTTATCCCGTGTCATGCGGGTTTAGACGCGTTAAAGCTGCATGTTTGCGCTGCCTGTGTGTGTCAGAGTGATAGAGAGCTGAAGGCTCTTAAAGGTCAGGCCCAAAGTTGGGGCTATTTTAAGACCCTAAGACCGCATCTATCAGGGTTTGCATTGGCTGATATTTAGAATGGGACATTCATTAACTTTGCATCTGCATTGTTACAGATTCAGGCCTCGTCTGAGCTCAGCCTGGCCTAACCTGGGCTCACTGTGTGGCCTGTGCATTGTTTACATGGCTTTGCATTGGATTGTATGCAGAACAAGGCTGTAATTGGTTAATTAACCTTCCATCATCATCATTATCAAAGCTTCAGGCCTAGTTTGAACCCTCTGCTGTCCAGTATGCGGCCTGTGGATTGTTGAGCAGGAGTTTTTTAGTCCACACTGCAAAAAATGATATATTGGCAAGTAAGATCATCCTACATCTGGTCAATATATCTAATATTTATCATTGATAAGAGTTTATTTGACTTATTTTAAGTCATCTCATGTAGAAAAATTGTCATATTCGATTAGCAGAGGATTTACAGCATTATTTTTTAAAGTAATAATAAAATAAAGATCAGCAAAAATGCACTGATGACTAAATGTAAGTTCAATAATCTTATAACAGTCTTATAATGAGGATTAATAGATATGTAACAGTGCAACAAATAGAAGGAACTGAATTTAAAACTCCTGCTTTAGACTCTGCAGCCAAAGTATCTTCTGTTGTCTTAGAGGATGAAGTAAAGATCTTTCCTGAAGCTAATTGCTAGTGTTTTATTAAAGGGGAACTCCACCAATTTTTAAAAAAATTCGGTATAATTTAGTCATAGAAATGTAAACACTCATTCTGAGAATTTCATTTTCTTCACAGAGGTGGTGAGTCAGGCGTCGCCATGTCGACAACACAAATATAGAACCTACACGTGTATTCTGAGATTTTAATCTTATATGTAACACTGATGATGGTAAAATAGTGATAAATCTGAAAAAAAAGCTTCTTTTTGGTGACTAGTTTCAATCAATCAATCAATCAATCAATCAACCTTTATTTAACCTCGGAGAACATCGAGGGTGACCCACGCTTACAATGTTGCTGAGTTGATACAGGAAAAGGGATTGATGGTGTGTGAGAACATATCGAATAATAAAAGTAAATGTAATAATAAAAATGACTCGAATCAGGTAAGTATAAAAAAAGAAACATTAATAATAAAAATACAGTAGAAAATATAAAACAATAATTAAAACAGCTA